CAATCAACTAACAAACAACATGAGCTGGGGTTAGTTGTTATATAGTTTTATTACAGACTTGCAAACTCTCAGCTGCGTTGAGTTGAAGCCTGCTATGTTCCCGTCAAGATCCAGCCCAAGCTACATGCCAGGACAGCAGGTCACCTCTGCCAGGCTCACAAAAAACAAGCAGTGGGGAGAACCAGGAAAGAGGCACACGCCACACTGCTGCCCGCCAGAGACAGCTGGTGTAGTTCAGGGACCCGGCGAGAAGCAAAGCCCATCAGCCAGTCCTGCCGGTTAGTGCAGCAGGTCAGGTATCGCTGCGAGTAAATGCTTGCCTGTGGGGACAGGCGTTTGTAGCCCAGATCCTGATGAACGGAGGTGCACAGGGGGGGAGCCTGGAATGGGAACGTAGGGTAACAGAGGCAAGAGATGCTAGAAGATAAGCAGAAAAAATGGGGGGAGGAAAGAGGAGGGAGAAATACAGGGGTAGTAAAAAATATCAGACAAATCAAAGAAGGGAGAGAACAGAAAATAAAAACATCAGTGAGGACACGTAGCTCTCCTAGCTGGGTACCTCAGAGCTGAAAACACAAACCCAAAACAAGCGATATTGGAGGGACTCAGAACTAAAAAAAGGAGGACGTAGAGAAACCTTTGGTACAGAGGGCAACAAAACAGCAGAAAGCAGAGTGCCCGAGTACTGAGGGCAGCTTCTGCCACCTCTCAAGAGTGGCATCAGGCGTGAACTCCAACATTAACATCTACACCTGACTGGAAAAGACAAGAGCTCAGGTTTTAATGCCCTTGTACTCCTGCAATGTTTCCAAATCTTCCAGATTACACATATTTCCAGGTAGAGAACCCAGGCAAACAGCCATGTGGCATTTATACAGAAGGGAGGAGGGAGTAGAGGAGGAGTATCCTTGCGAAACAGGGTTGCTTCACCCAGGCACACCCCCGCTTCCGCACTTCTCTCTATGGTTTGGCCACCATCTGAGAAACAAACTCAGCTACAAGTTCCTTACTCTTTACTTCCTTTCTCCTGCTGCAATCCACCAGTACAAGACAAAGCACTGTTACTTTTGAATCAGAGATCAGTGCAAATAATGAGCCTTCCCTCCCTTTTTTGGTACGATCTAGCTGCTACAAAGTCAGCGGCATCCTCAACATAGCAAGTACTGCAGGCTGTTTGTAGAGGGGCAGCTGGATTATAGCAATCATCTGAAAAGGGGAAGAAAACACCTTCAGATGAGTGAGAGCTTGCCAACGCCAAGACATTTGTTGTTGTCTTATTGGTAGATCAGTTATAACTGCTAAGTGTTCCTTTGACAAAGATGCTCATGAGGGCAACGTATAAATACAACAGTGGTCTCCAGTACTCACCAGCAGCCTTCAATAGCAACGAAACTCTCACGTGGAGACCAAGGGCCACTTACAGTCTTCATGGTGCTCCCCTTGGGCTCTCCAGGTGTTTGAGGTTACAGCTGCATCCCCCAAATTTACAGCATCTACCAGCTAATGTTATTCTGGGACTAAGTGGAATACACATCTGGGATCCAGAGGAACATCACCAAATCAAACAATTCCATAATTATAGGGGCTAACATGTTAAAAAGAACACAGCCTTTCCCAACAGGAATGAAGGCTACTTATTAAATCAGTCTGCCCATCAGTCCAACAGAGAATGCCCTTGCAGGCTGCCGGTGGCCTCATGATGGCCACTGCCCTCTGCACCTCCCCCAGGGGAAGCTGCCATCAGAACTGAGCAATGCAGAGGTGAAGGTGTCTGGAGGCCTTTGGTGTGATGGAACAGGACATGGGTGGGCTCTCCTGGCTGACATCCTCAAGCACCAAGTCCTCTTGTTCTGTTAGATGAAGCAGAAGCCAATTCATTGTCTGTGTAAATTGTCCCTGAGGTGAGGGAGTAGCGCAGACGCTCTCTGTACAGCTCCATTCATCCTGCTGCCTCCTGAGCCAGTGGTGGTTGCACTGTTCACATGCACACTGACAATCAATTCATTTCCCACATGACTTTTGGGCCAAAACCCATTCCTGTAAGGGAAGGAACTGCTGTTCTGACTTGGAAGTAAAGCAGCAGAATGCAGACAAAGTGAGGTGATGTTTTTCTGGTCCTGCTCAGACTCAGCCTTCAAATTTTAGTCAATATTGCTGTTTAAAAATCTGAGAACTTAATTTGCAGCTTCCCCCAGACCCACAGAAAGTTAAGTCCCTCTGCTTTTCAAATAACTGTGATTGTAACTTAAGCGTGACAATGGAAACAGAGGTGTTAAAGATTAATTTGCCAATTAGCTGCTAATTTTTAAAGAGAGGGAGGGATAAAGGACTTGGTAGAATTTGAACATGTTGAAAAAAGCAGTGAAAGGAGAGTTCATTTAGCACTGACAGCGAGTGCCTAATGCGACATTTGCGTGGGCCATTTCTAACCAGAAGTGATGCATGGGTGGCTACTCCCTTCGCTACAGCTGCCAAGGCTTGTCCTGTAATTCTAAGAGCAGAGAATTTCCTACAAATTTATAGAGTGCAGCACATTAGAGCAAACTGTTTTAAAGGGAATAACAGCACACAGGGATGGGAGATACCAGCAAGCAGACAGAAGTTTCCTCTGGGTTGAGAAAGCAACCTTGGTGGACAGGCACAGCCCCAGCCTTCGTGCTTTGCTGACAGTTGCCTTATACGTGTTTTATGTGTGGTACTTGGCCCTGTATTTGGATGTAAACATGCTACGCATTGTGTATCCACAGCTTGAGAGGAGAGGGAACATCAGAGCTGATGAACAATATCAATATATTTCACAGCCATCATATCAAAAAAGGAATACTGCAATGCTTTCAAATAATTTTTAAAAGCACTAGGAAAGATTCTGATAGATGTGCACTAGTGGTGTTATGAAAAGGGCAAGAGGAGGGAGACTGAACAGGAAGATCCTGGCTGCAGCGCGTCTCTCTCCTTGTGCCGGCCGGCAGCTGCCTGCAGGAGAAGGCCACCCTCGGAACTGCTGTTGCAGGCAAAAGCAAGGAGCCGCACTGCAAGGAGAGGGTTGGCACTCTCGCACCCACTGTCAGCCAAGCAGCCTAACCACCACCCAAAGCACAGGGAGGGCTTTTAAGGAAGAGGCACTCTCCTAGCTGCAGGGCATGAAGGGCATGTGGTAAACGGGATTCCTGCATAGCTCTGCAACTTTCAGAGCTGCAGAGCTGACAGGGTATCCAGTAATGCCCATCAGTCGCTTCCTCATCTCACAGCAGCTGTGTTTTCTGCAAGAGGAATGGTAGCTAAAAATAATCTGGCTTTGACTTCCTCTTTCAAACCCTCAGTCTCTTTTAAAAAGATTTTTTTTTTGTTCTCCCAGAAACAGCAAGGAGGATGTTACAGACAAAAACCAGAATGGTCACCTGCACAAAGAGAACAGCAGCATTAGAAAGCTTAGAGAACAGTAGGAAACTACAATAAAGATCAGAGACAACAAAAGAAATTGTTAACAGTTCCAAGTAACATCCTCCAAATTCTCTTTCACGCTTGCAGAGAGCTTTCTGTTAGGCCTCTACTTGTATGACCCAGTTAGCAGTGCTGATCAAAGGGGGAATACAATCTGGATGTTTCTGAATGCAATTCATTTGCTCATTAAAACGTGTTAAAAGAAAGCATGGTGCTCAGTGATCACCAAATGAGCTCTCACGGCTGTACAGCAGAGATTTTTATGCCCTGATGGAATAAATGTTTTACTTTAAATTCTGTGTCATCCATAGATCTACAAAATGTGTCAATCCCACACCAAACATGCAAATAGAGAAAAAGAGAATATTCAATTCATCCTTCAGTAATATAGCACTATATATTCTACTCCAACAATAATTCTACAAATACAGGGCTGGTAGGCATCCTCAGACTGCTACAGGCAGCTGGTTCACATAATCATATTTATTTTCATAAACCTACCTACTTCTATATTAAAATATTTCAGAGTTCCATGTATAATTTTTCAATTGCAGCCTGTAATTAACCTGATACAGAGTGTACCTGAAAACTCTCCAAGGCAGGGGCGATGCTCTCTTGAACCTAGTCTTCCAGAAGATCCCTGCTCCCAGTAGGTATCTCTGGACACTACCAAACTATAAATAAAACCATAAGCAGAATTCAGACTGTGACTTACAAACCTGCTGCTAACAGACCGATACCTGAAGTGAGCACAGCACAAGGGACAGAAAGAGAAATGGTGAATACATCCCTGTCTCCTATCAAGTGTCTCAAATTCCAAACAAATACGCTGCACAATGTAAAGGTTTGGAAGTATACCAGAAAGCATGCTGCTACGTAGTTTATGTATTATGCCACACACTGTGAGCTTTACCTACAGCACAGCTATTAATGTGGCTTTATCCCCTCTCAAATCTCAACACCAGAAACCATAAGCAACTCTCCTAGCACTGTAGCACCAACAGCCACCTTACACTTGGCCAAGTCAGAAGTGAGAGCAGGTCTACCCCCTAGGCAGGAGACTACAGGAACTTCCTTTTGCTGAATCCTGTCCCTCACCTTGGCAGAGAGCACCATTCTCTCTTACCTTCTCCCTTCTCAGCTGCACCCCCTCACCATTTCCTCCCACACCATTTCCACTTCCACCACACTCTCTGCTTACTTCCTACTTCCCAGTTCCTTTGCTCAGCCTCACTGGTGCAACCCCACATCCCAGTTTCAGGGCTCATCACAAAGCTCTCTGGGCCAGTGAGCCCAGTGCTTAGCACCACCTGTGGGCGATCTCCCAGGCGTTCTGGCGTAAATCTCCCTGCTGCACCAGGGCCAGCACAGCACCTCTACAGCACCGACAGCTCTAGAAAGGTGCAAGAGAAGTGCAGACGTTACTGGTGAACTGTGACCAGGGCTCCTCCTTCAGCAGTATACAACACTAGATCAGAAAAAGCAAAAATAATGAAATCTTTAAATGTCTTGGTAGGTGGTATTAAAAGTAATCACAAGAACATAGAATATTAAGTAGGTTTTGGTACCTTTTTAATGGGAAAATGGAAAAAAACAGGAGCTCCAGTATACCACAACAAAGAAATAGAGAAAGTAAAGTATCTGTAAAGTAAACTGAATGCAACATAAGCAATGTTTTATTGGGATATAGCAGGCAACCTATCAAATAGGGAACTGGTACAAACAGATTGAACAAGACTCTCTTTTAACAGAGATCTATGGTGACGAGACAGCTTCTTTCAGTTTTTAAAACAAGTATTCAAACCTCTAAGTAAAGCATTTAAAAAAAAAATCAACCATTACAACACCAATGACAGACAATATTAAAAATGTGCAGAATTTTACCCTTTTTACAAATTTCTGCATAATGTTAGAAAACAAGTTATCATAAATTAAAAAAAGGAATAAAATGAAGCTTTTTTTGTTTTGCAAAGCAACACAAACGTTTAAAAACCAACTGTACTTTACATAGAACTACTATTAAAAACAGGTGAAAACAAGCTGAAAATTTAAAGGACGGCAAAAAATACACAACCCAGTTTCACCTGTCAGCAACACCTTCTACTATCGAAGGGGTTATGTTGTATGTACAGCTTTAAACATTGCAGCATACCACAAGTAAACCTTAATAAGGTCAAAATAGGACCCTCTGCAAAAAAGGGTGAGTTGGCAAGTGTCAGTCCCATCCTAAAATTATTAGTAACAATTTTACTAGGTCTTTAGTGTAAACCAAAACCTGCTTTAACTGGTTTCTCTCTCCCAAAGATGCATGTAAACTTTATTTGGGGTTGGTTGGGGTTTTTTTGGTTTTTTAATTCATGAGATCAAGAACATGTCTGGCTCAAAAATTAGAATGACAAACCTCCCTTTTGTTCTGGATACTGTGATGTAGCTATCTCAACACGCTCATTGACAATTCCTAAAAAAGAAAATCATTATGTACTATGTAAAAAATACACACCACCTCTCTCAGTTCAGACTCAGTATATAGTATATTGCCAACTCTATCCAATAGGATATATATTGTAATTTGGTTTAAATTCTTAATGGATATAGTCTCTCTTTACAAAGTTCCATCACATGAAACCAAATTGCTTATCTATTGTTTGAGGCACAACATGACCCCAATTGGACAATTCACTATAAAGAGTTGTTCTTTAGATGTTGTGTCTGTAGAGGTTTTACGTGATATTCATAGATTTTCAGCGCAGGCCCCAGTTTTAATGAAAGTCCAGTCAGTACATCATTTCTTGTCATCAACAGTAATGATTTGCCATCAATTTCCTATAAGAAGAATTAAAGAGTTGATAAAGACAAATGTACAAATCTAACAGATACGAACAGTCATGCATCAAATGGAAGACTACTACAGAGGATCAATAAGAAAAGAAATAGCAGCCTGTTTTTTCCTGGAACTATGTTCATAGCTGCTAAATTCTGCTGTCTGCTTTTCAAGTGCTCACCTGTGCTGACTAAGGCATAAATACTATTTAGTAAGCACAAAACCCAAATGAGCCTAATTTCAAAATTCCCTCCTTGTAAATCTGTTTCAAATTAATAGGTGCATGTGCAGATTGCCTAATTATCAGCCATTAAGGGAAGAATACTCTTAAGAAGGTAGCTTATGAAGTGCATTTCAGAAGAATTGCCATTGACAGTGATATGCAAGTTTGGACTAGTCAGTATCTGCTAATAACTTCAGGTGCCTTCTTTATGAGGCCAAATTTCCCATGGGTCCTGTGGGGGGAAAAGAAAAAAAAAAAAAAAAAAAAAAAGACTCTTACAATCAGAAGTTATAGAAGGGCCCAGCTGTGGAGCTCAACACTGAGGGAACTTCTCATCCTCCACTTAGAATGGAAGAGGCTAAAAGCAGCAACTTCCCAGCTTAGGTCTCAACAACTCATACTTGTTCCTGCTTAAAATTCACACTTTTAAATCACAGATATGTTTGTTGTTGTTTTGGTTTTTTTCTTCTCAAGCCTTGGCTTTCTGACCTATTTAGATTAGACATCCTGTAGGCTTTGGGATTTTTACCACCTCAAAACCTTGTTGTATGTTTGAAAACTACCTGTAAATGACTTTTCAAAGGTCAAAGTGGAAGAGAGAGAATCCACATTTCTCAATTCCCAACTCCAATTCAGACATAGGACCATCCTTTTCTTTACACATTCCTACTACTACACTGCTCAGGAAACAGGAGCTACAGCTACACAACAATGCATTGACTGGTGTCTCACAACACAGCCAGACCTCCCAAGGTAGTCATAATCATATGATAGAAGAAATATATAGCCTTATGGCATTCTCCTGCACCGGACTTCACTCTGCTGTTACATTCTTTTTTACTTTTAATAAAAAACCCACTATTAAATGTTGAATTTGTTATCAATAGACAACAACCATTTCAAATGCTTGCATATGTTGTTGTTGTTCATGATAATATATTGCCAAAATTTTGTATTTTTATAAATATTGTAAACATTACACATCAATTTATCCCACTGCAGCGACTTCCTTAGAAATATTGAATGTTGTCGCGGAAATGTAAGAGATCCTGTCCTTGATTACAGCTTAACATGAAGAGGAAGACTTTAATATTAGAGTTCAGCATGAATTTGTCCAGACCGATCTCCCTTATGATTTAATGAAGTTTACACATACAAAATACATGGACAAACCACAACATAGTCAAAGATCAGCTGAAAGTGGAATTTCTTTAAAATTCCCCAAGAGTAATGACTGCTAATCTCTCAGAGGAGTGCAGTGTAACAGTATTTCTAAAAGAAAAAAAGTTTCCAATAACATTTACCCAATTATAGCAGAAGCCTCTTTCCAATTACTGCTGAGAATGCTAATAGTTAAAACCAGTTTCTATCCTCTCTTTTCCGTTCGTCACAATTCTTTCTGTGGGAATTTTGACACCAGTGAGTATTTTGCGCATTGCTATGACCGATCTGAAGTTGCCTTTTCTGCTGCTGTTCAATGATGCTATGGAGGAAGAACAGCATCCAGCTTGGTGGGATCCAAATGAAGTAAATCCAGTACCTGGAACAGGAGAAACTCCAAGAATAGGAAAAAAAGCATCTATTCCTTTACCTTCTTCTTTCACAGGGTCCCCCGTGGATTCTAGAAATGTTGGTAACTACTAAGGCTTTCATTGAATAGAAAACTGATTCTCTAATCATATCCGGAGAGAAATGAGTGATTATGTATACAGAATTCAAGTGTTTTATACCTTTGTGTGTATTGTAAGCTTTACTTCTTCCACTTTTTATTTTTCCACTTAAACCTGCTTCTGTAGATTTGTCATAGTCATTCCGGTTTTTGGCACCAGGTAGGATTTTGTATGCTTTGGTGACTTCTCTGAATTTCTTCTCTATTTTCTGGATTTTTTTCAGGATGCAACTTCAATGTCTTTGTGTCATCTGCAGAGGCACCCCTCTACACAACTAGAGCTAACAGCAATTCCCCACTGTGCCAGGATGACCTCAATAGCAATAGCATATTGTCTGCAACAAATAACCAAAGGACCAGTTAAGCTTCAAGTCCGCCCACAACTCTTTCTGCTCTTTCTCCAAGTGACTGAGAACTGCAAGGTTTTACAGTACAGCTAACTTGAAAGCATGGCAGTCAGCATGCTCACATGCTCCTCCATGCCGTGGCTCTGCTAGAAAGCAGCAACGGACACAGGCTAGCATCAAACTGCCATTTCCCTTCTGGTAAGGCATTGCAGTGAGGCCAGCAAACTACCATTGGGTTACTTGGGCTTATCTGGCTATCGCAATACTAATGGTTAAGAAGTCACATGGGCAACAACGAAGGTCAGGCATAACACTAGCATGTCTCGAGACACGGCAAACAGCTTCAGTCTTTGAGTGACCCACAGCCCTCTGTGTTCCCAGGGCTCCTAGTGAAAGATCAGCCACGTACTGGCAGGCAGCAGTTCTTTGAAGATGTTCACACCCTCATCCGGCGTCTGGTCTGCCTCTCTCTTTAGTTACCCTGTGCCCCCAACTCTTGTCTGATTTGCTTGCTGAAGTTACGTATTTTTTGTTATTGGGCAACATCTTTCAGTTGAATCTGTTTTCATCAGTGAGCTTTTTTGACTTGCTGACATCAGTGGAAGTCCAAGTAGGAATAATGCATAATCATCATACAATCATCATGTCTTACCAGCACTTATAGTACAGTTTTAATAGAACATTCTGCAGTCCTTAAAATGTCTTCTCATTCTCCTTAGAATGTTGTACGAAAAATTCAGGTCTTAAAAATTCTTTTAGTTCTTGTTCTGGGTGAGTCCAGATATATTCAGATTCATCAAAAGAACATGTGGACTTAAGTTAAAAGCTGAATGTAATAACAGATCTCATGATTACACTCTGGTCTACAGATGTTTTGTAAGGAAGCCATTGTGCTACCCCTACTGAAGCAGTTCAGTGGAAAACCATTTCCTAGTGTTGTAGGTGAAACACAATACATCTACAACCTCATTCCCCTTCCAGTACATATTCAGGGCAGTAGCAGACCAAATGAATTCAGGTTTCTGGGGTCCAGGCAAGCTACAGTACAAATGGCAGAGAAAAATGGAAGCGGCCAAACCATCAGCTGCATGCCTGGTGACTCTATAGACAGAGGACTAAGGGTTCAAAGCCAACCTGACTGCACTGCCATACCTGGAAGGCCTGGGAGATCCTGATAACAAATACTGTAAGTACACAGAGTTAAAGTTAGTGGCTAGTAAACTGTGTAGAGGAAACAGACCACCACCACTGATAAGAGGTCACGGACAGGATTGTTCCTGGGGCCGTTCCTGGTGTAGACAGGGAATGGGCTAGCGGAGCTGGCATGGACACTTGCTGCTCCTCAGGGAGTGGAGAGGGAAAGACATGGCAGTGACTTCTGCCGCCGAGTGCCTGTCCCCATCTCCTGGCCACAGCCTGGTGGCAGCTGTCAGACTCTCTCTCCAAGGCTTTGGCATAAAGTGAAGCTGGCAGTGGAATCACAGCCACATTTCTGCCCATGGCTATCCTAGCAAAGACCTGGCAACACATTGCTAAAAAGCAGCTTACTTCAGCTATCCTCCTGAAGCCACTTGCCCTCACTGCAGAATACTAATAAAAGCTTTACACTCTACTTCTATGCTGCTTTCCATCAGGCTGTTGCAAATTGCTTTGCCAAAACTCATGAGTTAGCCTCACCTTGCTGCCGCAAGATCAGTAGTAATTACTGCAGTATTATTGACAAGCCAGCTGAGGTGCAGAGAGGTTAAGATATTTGATGAAAGTCAGAGGTATCTGTCAGTATACGGAAAAAAACCCAGAGGCTGCAATTACTTTGCCTGCGTGTTTTTTTCAGCCACATTTCCAAGGCTATTGAGGAGACATGGATGCTGGTGCTAAGGAACGGATACACTTTAACAATTTTTTTTGCCTGTTTACCCATCTTCAAATTCTGAAAAATTAGTAGCAGCTGCAGAAAGAGCCTCTCTCTGCACCCTGCCAGAGCATTACCCAGCACCAGGCTTTTCACCCCTGAGAACAGAGAGATAAAGTTAGATACCCTGCTATGGTCATCAGCTACAATCAGATGGGGTTTCACTACCCAGGTGCTGAAGGTCAGCAAGATTAACCTGACCAACAGTAATGTTATTTCACATTAGGTGTACAGCTTCCCTGCAAAGCTGCCAATAACTTGCACTAGCTCAGTACCTTGGAAGGTCAAGCCATCTATTTTGATAACTAAATACAAGTGTTGGTAACTAATTTCCTGGTAGTTGCATGTGAACCTACAGACATATCAGGGAACGTCCTGAACTGGCCATCTGGAGATGCAAGTTCCTCCTCTAGGGAACAGGGGGGCTGTAGGCCAGGTAAGGCAACTTCCCTATCCCACCCCACTAATACACCTTACCCAGTGTGCTGACAGGTGAGTTACAAGGGGCCACATGAATGTTAAGCTCTTTGCTGATCAAAACTACCAAAAGAAGCCATCCATTAGCATGAGCAGGTACAAGGCCCAGACATGAAGACCCAACCTCTTTCTCGGTCCAAGCCCTATAAACATGCTGCTCCTGTGCCTAAGCCAATTCTTCCCCCTTATTGCCAACTTGTCCTTTCTCTGTTCCCTTGCACTGCCAAGTTCAGTGCCACACAGTAGCCCCTTTTCATCCTAGGTCTTCAAAAGCAACTTGCTTCTTAGGAGCCCCAGGTTTAATAAATACTCATGAGTGTATTTGCACAATACGCTAAGGAAGAAGGGAATTAACATTCACATTTTAAATAACAAGATAGCGAAACTGAGTGGGTTGTACAGGGAGACTGAGTCCAAGCCAGAAAATCTGTTTACATTCCTCACCTTTCAGATGACTGTTTTAAATAAACTCCAACCCATTATCCACATATTATTGAACAACATTATTACTCAAAGTTCATAGTCCCATGGATTTTAACCTAGTAACAGACTCAAATCCCCCCATTAATGTGGGATTTTTCACTCCCATTTAATAGTGTATAACCAGGTCCATGGCAAAAACATGCAATGGTGGCAGTCAAAAAGTGTTTCGTAACAGATTTACCTGTTCTTGAAAAGCATTGGCTTGTTCTTCAAATCCAGCTGTTCTGAAATAATTCACAACATCAATAACAGCCCAGTCAGCAGGATCTGGAGGTCTCCCATTCTCTACTGAACTGCAAAGTGCAAATCCAGACAAGTAATCACTAAAAGTGTGCAGAGCGTCTGCAGCTTCTTTGTGCACACCCCACATACATCCCCTCCTTCCTTGTTCCTCCAGGAAAAGTACCCTTTGACACACCTCCTCCTGCCCCGATACAGAACTGTCACTCCTGTTCTCTTCCATTTCAAAGAGCGGATGCTGGGGACAACTGAGGTACCGCTCCCTTCAGAAAAGAAGAAAGTATATGAATGTTCACATCAGCCAAAGGCAATCAGAATCTTCTCCTGCACGTGTGCTGCCTTTGCAGTTGGAGAACAAAGTCTACCATGACTGAGGTACCAAATCCCTGTCTTTCAAGACTGCAGCTTGTTTTCAGCTACCAAGTACTTATAGCGAATTGCAGTATGTGGATTATTCTTTTCCCAGATGAGACTATGTTTCCTTGTAACATGGGTAGAAACTCTTGGAAACCATCTTTACCTTGTAAAACAAAACAAAAAAACAACAACAAAAAACAAAAAAAGAAGCACCAATGATTGCACTAATTGCTCAATATAGAAAATTTCCCAAAATCATTTTTGCACTCATCTTTGGACAAATCTATGGACTTTTTAAATAGCTATGAATCTGAGAAAACACCTGTTAAAGACAATTGGAATGAATTCCTTCTGTGATTGACCTCAGGCAATTGCTTTCCACAGTAGTAGAAACAACCAATCATTCACATTACTACCCTTATCCTAACATTTCTTATCCTCAAACTGCCATCACCCTATCTCAGATAACCTTTGCGTATCTGCAAATTCTTGGTAAAAAGACACACAGTGAGCTTGGCTGCCTTTCTTATAGTCATTTAGGAGCATGAAGAGAAAGACATCGAAAGAAAGAACTTCTTTAACATGTTTCTCCAACTACAAGTCCCAAAGTTCATGCCAGACATTTTCCACTGTTCTGCATGCATGCTTAACCATAATGCTAATGAAGAAATACTGAAAATGTACAGGCTGGGGCAGATGTCAGAACCCTGTCCATTTCAGGTCCTGAAGCTGAGAGGCAGGACTTTGATTTTCAACAGCACCAGCTGGAAAAGAAACACAGATTATACTCTCCTGACAGCATTTTTGTTCTCTCCCTCAATTTTTTCTTTTCCAACTGTCACCACCTCTGTCTTGCCTAGACTTGCATGTCTTTCAGCAAAATAACTAAGTGAATCAAGGGCTAACCATTTTTCCAACCAGCCATGAAGAGAAGCGAACAGAATCATATGCAAAGCCTTCCATCACTGTTTCTACAGCACCCCAAATTCTACAACTAGCTGAGCCTTGGGAAGGAGGAGTTGTGAACACAATGATTTTTGCTTCTCCCCCAACTCTTGGAATGTACCTGTCAATATGGCAACAAAATTCTGTCCCCAGGCACTCACACTGCAACCTCGATATCACACCGTATGCTGTACTTGGCCTTCTAAAAGTAGTTTCTTTCACTTATAGAATATGCACATATCAGAGCAATGAGCAAAGGGCTAGAGTTTCCTACTTTTACTCATCAAGTAATGACTGACTTCATGATTCACTTCACTGATTGTGATTACACAGAAAGCCAACACTCAGCAAAACTGAAAATGAGACTATTTGGCCTTATCAGAGCTGCACTTTTTTTTTTTTAAATCAAAGAATTCCTTTCAATTAAGATTTTTGGTAGTGTGCTGATTCTGAGACATAAGTAAAATGTGAAAAGCATCACACAAAACCTGCTTTTGTAAAAGCAGAATTTGAAGAATTATATTTAAATCTTTGCATTTTCTCTAAGACAACCATTTTCAATTACTTCCAATTAAAATTAAAAATAAACAAACAAGACCCCAACAACTCAGCATTTAAAAAAACCCCATAAACCTAAAAGATACTGAATTTAATTCTTCCTAAACAGCAAATAAAAGAGTCAATCTGTAAAAATACCTCCTAACTGTATTTTGCTTACTTCCCAAAACACTTTAAATTCAAGCTAAATACAGTCCCGAACCCTCCTTCCCACAATTTGTATTTCAGTCCAGGTGCGTCAGTTCTTCATGTAGCTCTTCTTTTACCAGTAGGGAACTACAGCTCGGTCCAGTCCCATCCCATGCTCAACTGCAATGACTTCAGAGGCTCTACCTTAGTCATTAACTAATCACAGGAAATAACTGCAAGCTCCTGCCTCAAGGAATAGCATCATGCTGGACCTCAAGTGGAGCCAATTTCCACAGCTACAGCTGCAGAAAACTCAAAGGCATGTGGCAGACTGTTGGAGGCTGGCTGGATTTTAACCCATCTACCCATGCAGCTGCTCATTTGGCTTCTAGATTTTAACAGTCTCCTCCTTGCCCTGCTGTTGCACATGGTTCTAGTCTTTAGACAAAAAAAGGGAATATACAACAGCCACGGCTTAGCCACACGCTGGTTTATGCCAGACATCCTGGATGCTGTAAAATCTTACAGGCATTTTAGGCTTTGTAGCGAGATACTAGATGCACTTGATAATGAATAAAGATTAGGCTTGTCTGCTTTTCACCACTGTCCCTGTGCCTTTATTGCCATCATGTGGCAGAAGCAGCAAGGCCTGAAAGGATATAGCTGTGAACAAACAGATTTTATCCAAGCTATTTATAACCACTTCAAGAAAGTGCCAAATACTTCCTTTGCAGATATGTGCACATACAAACTGTATACATTCATTTAGAAACCACAGCTCCTGACCAGTTTAATTACAATCCCCATCAGTTTTAAAAAGCCACGTTGGCAACTAGCAGTTGAGCCTTTATCACCTAAGCCTCAGGGGAAGATGATTACGTGTAAACTGCCCTTGCTTTGACTGCCTGCCTTCTCATCCCACCATGGAGTCCTCACTGTAGAAGCAAGACTGCCAGCTGAAGGTGGCTTCTGAAGGACATACACGGCATAATCTGTTCATAGTCACTGAATAGGGAAATGCATTTTATGTTGGTGTGGCGTAACCAATGTCTCAAGTGAAGGGGCAGCATGCTCATTTTAATGGCCACCATCAGATCTTTTGATGCTGTGTCATAGTCAGGTGCTTTATCATCATTCTGAAGTTACCATTATTATTGTTGTTATTATTATTTATATTACTCTAGTGCCTGGAAGCCTAAGCATTGTCACGTTTTCTTGGAAGTCTTGTGGAAAAGAGACCTGAAGGAGAAGAATGAGGTGCAGCTTTGCAGAAGTGTTGTAGTTTGAGAGAACAGACTAAGAAGTCTCTCTGGTACCTTTCTTTGTGTTGTTTTTTGTTTTGGGTTTGGTTTTGGTTTTTTTATATAAATATGTATATATCTATCTCAGCACAGTTTCTATAACCCTAAAGTAGCAAGGCCCAGTTTTTCTACACAGAGCTTCACTCCTCATATCATAACTTCATTCAGAATTGCTAGTCCTAATCTAAAAATTGCTGACCTTTAAGGATACAGAAATGCCTCCAAAACACCTCCTATCCCTTAGCCTGCAGTCTACCACACTGAAGAAAATTGTAGAGCAGTGCACACCCCATCTCTGTCTTATTCCCACCCCAGGTCTGAAGTAAAAACCCAGCAGTTTAGGGCTTCTTCTCCAGCAAAGAGCTTAAAATATCTGTTCCAGAATAGAACTGACACCAAAGATATACGCTGCTGCTACTACTTCTCAGCTCTAGATGGCTGGGCAGTCAGCAGAGGTGGGCCTGTGTGTCTCTGCAAAAGACAGAGAGGAGACTTCCACACAGGACACTTCTCACCATCAGGTATTGGTTCTGCAAAAGCCACTAGCAGACCAGTGAGCAGAGGCAGAGTATTGGTTATGGTGCTACCACTTGCTTTAGTCTCTGGTTGAGAGGAGAAATCAGTGGAGACTTAAGTTACAAGCATCTACATCTCTCCACTGCTATAGTCCTCCCACATATCACTTTTAACCAATTCAGTGCCAAAGACTCTTCTATTTCAAAGTTGAAATACAAAAAAAGTAATTAAGAACAAGGAAGGTTTGAAATGAGCAAAGATGGAGGTGCCCACCGTTGCCAACCGCATTAAGTCAAAGGAAAACTACAATCAAAATCCATGTGCTGTTTACATAAACTGAACACTATGGATTCACTTACTTTTTGACATCCAGAGAGCCATTTTCCTTGTTTTCCATGTCAACAGTTAGCATGGGGAGGATAGAGGTTTCTTTTACTTCAGCAACTGATCAATAGGGGGGAAAAAAGCTGTGTTTAATTATTGGTAGTATGAAATGAGAAACATAATGTAACAGAAACAAGCATTCTACAGGGACACAACCACGTTTCCACCTGAGAGCCCAGGTGCTGTCAAAGACTGCTTTCCTCAGAAGCTTGGCAAAGCTGGTAGTAGCTAATGAACTAGGAAAACTTGACCTGTGCTTCAAAAAGAAATATTTCATGCCTAAAAATCAAGGAAGGTAATGTTACATTTGATCTTTTCTGAAACTAATAAAATTCTGATCAAACTACATACTCATACACATAGAGACTGACCTACCACATATAGCTAGATATCAAGAGGACTTACTATGCTTTCCGTCACCCTGCTGTACAGAGGATCCAAATGGACGCGTGATCTTATCCCTAGCAAGGTTCTGAAATCCACAGCCTTGTTTTACAAATGGAGAATGTGGGATACAGATGAGCACAAAGTGACTTATACCCAATGCATACAGAAAGCTGGTAATCAGAGTTCCTAACCAAGTGCCAAACTCCCGAGGCCTAAATCAGTCTTATCCATAAGACCATCCTTCCTGCACTAGCACAGCTTCTTCTATCGGTATGGTATACTGAACTCTGAAAAGGAAAGGAGCATACGAAGGACACGGCAGAAAATCGTTCGCTTCCCTCCTCACAGCGTGCTGGAGTACTTTCACCATACAGCTTTTTCCACCACTCCATGGAACATGCAGAAATGACCCAAGCCTTTTCTTTCTGTTCTCAGGTAAGCCATTTCTATTTCAGAGAGCACCGAAGAACTGACCAAGGACTCGGGATGTTCTTGCTGTGGCATTAATGGATGCCAGTGAAATGTCACAGAGCTCTGGGAAGTACAGAATAAGGAAATCACACTCTTCAGCTAAAACTTTGCAAAAATACAGGACCGCAATTAATAACGCTGTTAAGGAAAAAAGAAAAAAAAAAAGAGACCCTTTATTATACAGCGAGCAGCATGAAAAGCACCGAGGAAACAGTGACAAACTAATCGGAAAGGTGCTCCTCCCTACGCCGCTGACCCGCTCGCTCAACGCGCTCCCTCAAATCACCCCTTGGTTCACCTGAGGCGGCTACAAAACGACACCCGCGCCGGCGCCCTGCGGCAGGTCCCCGCGCCCT